TTCACGGGTCATTCATGGTTCTGTGCGTGCTGCGAGGAGGCTGGCTGCCTGGCCAGGAAACAGTTCTCAGATTTCATTTTGCAAGAATGCCCGTAAACCATGAATCAGGCTGCTCGAATACTGAGAAATACTCTCAAGTGGTGATACCCTGCTCTGGTAGGACCAGAGCTGCTCCACGTGCCCCTCCGTTTGGTTGGCGGTCTCTGTCAACACCTCTTCCACTGTCAGATGAGGTCTTCATGTTTAGCACAGAGCAATCAAGCAGTGCTCTGCCTCGGGCAACAGAGAAGAAGCCAAACTATCTGCTTCTGCCTGCTCGTCAGTCTCTAACACTCCTTCTGTGGGATCCACTTGCTTTCAATCTTTTTTTTTTGTGCTGCTCCGTGTATTCGGAACAGCATGCTGCTTCTCGTGCATGCAGCGTTGCTGCTTAAGGAAGTCCAGTGTTTCCAGTTCTCCATGGCTGACTGACAGCTTCAACTTCCAGCCGGCTTTGCACAGCTGTCTGCCTCGCGTCTGCCCCGTTTCCGAAGGGTGCCCCGCGATGCAAAGCATGTGGTGGAGGCAGGGTTCTTTGTAGGCAGGGGAGACAGGAGTGTGTTGAGTCTGGTCTTGTGAAAGCATAATTTTGGTGAAGCTGATGAGCGTTTTTAGTCTGGTCCGTGCTGTGCTCTTCCCTTTTTGTTACCATCATCTGTAAGTCTGGCTGTAAAGCTTCCCTGTGATACACAAGCAGGTTGTGTATCAGCTGAGCCCATTTCTTTATGAAATGGGGTTGCTTGTATTCAGGTATGTCACATGGCTTTGGGATTAATAATTAGCATATTTATAAATCTGTGGTTTCATTTTGGAAGCGGAGACATCAACCCAAGACCCCACTCCCATGTGGCTGAAGTGTTGTTCCACGCACCTGGTGTACATAACTCTATTTTTGTTTCTCTTCTTTAGACGATGAAAGTCACACAGAATCAAAACTTCAGCATGAACAAGATAAATCCAGCTCCCTTGCCATTCCTTCCGTTTCCAAGCGAATTGTGCTCGGAGATTCTGTCTGTAATATGGCAGGCACAGCTGACCATGCCGGCAGCATGGTAGACTTCAAAGGGGAGAAGGACTTGTTTGGCAAAACTCCAGAGCTTGTCAGTGAGGGTACAAGTGAGCTCCGTCACCGAAACAGAGGGGAACTGCCATCCGAAGCTGCACCACGGCCACCTAGACACGGATTGGAGCAGTACTTGTCCAGATTTGATGAAGCTCTGAAGCTGAGGAACCAGCTGATGAACGAGAAGCCGAGCCAAGAGAATGGGAATGCAGTGGAGGAGTTTGACTCTTTCCGCATTTTTAGATTGGTGGGATGCGCTCTGCTTGCCATCGCAGTCAGGGCTTTTGTGTGCAAGTACTTGGTGAGTTCAGGGCAGCAATCAATCCTGTTCTATTTTGCTAGCTTACTGCAAACTTAGGACTTCTAGGGCTGAAGTCTATCCGTGGTGGCTAAGTGAGCTGGGAACATCAGGCACTGGTTACATTTCCCAACAACTATACAAAACCTCAAAAATAATCTCTAACATCCTTTGAGATGGTAACCAAGCCAGACTCTGTGTTATCTGTCTAACACAGCCCCTGTGTAACAGCCCAGAGTAGCAGACATTTGCCCTGCAGTGTTTGAGGAGCAGAAGCACTGCAACAGTTTTTGCAGCTTAAGTCGCTTACCGGTTTGTTTCCATCTTTGTGAGCATGAGTCAACTGCTTTTCTAGTTTGGAGTCTACAAAAGAATAATGGAGTGAAAACAACAATAGTTGTCCCAAGATAAGCAGATCCTACCTGTTGATCAGTCTCCAGAGGAAAGCAGTTGCTCAGAATTCCACGTGTCTGCACTATGCCATGCAGAGGAGCGCGGCTGGTGCCGGCCACCTCCTGGATCACGGCTCGGTCTCACGCACTGGGGTGTGCTGCTGCCATTTCGAGCTTTTAGGCTCCAAGAAAATAAGGCAGAACCTTATTTTTGACATGTAACTTGTCTATTTAGGTTTGTGGTGTTCAAGAATACTTTGCTCTTGTTTGTAAATTATTTTTTTACGTATCTGTTTTATGACTCGAGAAGCATTACAGTTCTGTGCTTTCTTCGCTGTTACTTCTGACCAAGTTAATTTTCATGTATTCTTTTCTATTCCTTCAGTCAATATTTGCACCGTTTCTTACTCTGCAACTTGCTTACATGGGACTGTCCAAGTACTTTCCAAAGGTAAAATTTTTTTTTTTTCAGAATTAGATTAACTTGAAATGTTTTCATTTTAAACTTGTGCTTAGATTGCATTGTTTTAGGACCAATGCATATGAAGTATTCTTCCCTTGTTTTAAACTATAGAACTGAGAGTTACCAAATGCTGATAGTCTATATTAGTTTTTAATCTTCCCAGATTTAGTCCAAATCTTCTTTAAAGTTGCTGTGAAAATGTGGACTAGCAATTTATTTAGCTTTAGCCTAATTAAAAGCATCTGACCAGGAAAGCCAGGTAGTTCTTTCATGTCTTCAGGAAACTTCAGTTTGCTTTTCTCCTAGACCGTGCTCTTCTGTGGTTACTGTTTGCTCTGTCAGCAGCTATTTTGCATGTGATACCTGGCTGAAATCTGGGAGGTGTTAGATAAAAAATGAGAGGGACTCCTTGGGTTTTAAGAGCTGTGCATTCTGCTGCTATTATCAGTTTGGCAACTTGAAGGGAGACATTTACTTGTGTGTGAAACTTGCTGCTTATTATATCACTTGCTTTATATATTTACACCAGTTAATTGTGCTGAAGTGTTTGTTTGGTGGATGATTTTGTCAGGTATATAGTGCAAAGCAGGATTGAATGATGCTTGATCCATAGTTGAAAGGGAAAATTTGCGTTTTAAAAGGAATAATAGATTAGCTGTAGAATATCAGAATAAATCAGCGGTTCTTTTGTAGCTAAGTACATCATTGAAAACTGAACTTCACAGTAGTCATTCTAAGCTGATGTGTCACAACACCAAACAGTAGAATTAGCCTTAGATTTGCACTAGCTCAGCTGCTAGATATTTTTAATCTTGTTTCTGCTGTTTTTAAAATCAGGTCTTCAGTTTCAGAATTGAAAGAGTTGCTTCCTTTCCACAACTTGCTTTTACTGCACCTGTACCCAGATGAGCTCGATCAGCTTGTTACCCTTCATTTTTCTCTCATGAAACCTTGAAAGATTCTTGAAAGCTTAATTTAGATTGGATTAAATTAAGATATCTAGCAAGTATCATCAAACTACCAGAATATTCAGGCACTATCACCTTTTCCTGCCTGTCAGACTTTGCATCCTTGGGATTCTTCATCCTAAGGACAGAAGAACAGCTTTCAAAAGGTTTTTGGGCATTTCCGAGTTCAGAGGATAGAACCACCAAATGGAGTCCTACTAAATTAGAAAGAAATGATTGTCAATTCTAAATCATTTTTCTGTGTTAGAAAAGTAACAGTATGTTTTGCCAGGTAGCGTGATGAGATGAATCCTGTTCTGCCAGTGGAGATGCCTGGCTTGGCTTCTTGCACCCAGGTTGCCCTTGTCTGGGACTCTTCTCCACTTCACAGCCTGCTTGGAGCACCAGCATGAAGTAGGCATAATATCTGTGATGGATTTTATCTGCTGTTAAGCAGCCTCTCGCTCAGCTGCATTGGATCCATCACAGCATGAATCTGTAGCTAGGATAAATGCTGTGAATCCCGGAGTGTGTCTGGAGAGAATCAATCCAAACCTGGTACTCCGACTGATGAATTTAGAATGTGCCTGGCTGCTTGTGAAATTGGCACAACATTGTGGCACGGAAAGCAGAACTGGATTATAACAGAAGAACTAACATGATACTGTTGTGTTTTTTTTTTCTTCTAGTGTGAGAAGAAGGTGAAAACGACAGTATTAACTGCTGCTCTTTTGCTGTCTGGAATCCCTGCAGAAGTGATTAGTCGCTCCATGGACACCTACAGCAAAATGGGAGATGTTTTCACAGACCTTTGTGTCTATTTCTTCACTTTTATCTTTTGCCACGAACTTATTCTGGTTTTTGGTTCCGAAGTACCGTGATGGCTGTAGGATTGGACGCAGTAGTTACACTAAAGCTTCCTGGACTGTATTCCTTTAACGTCTGACTGTGTAGACAGGTTTAAACCTTCATTAAAATTCTTACCTGTTCAGATTCTTTCAAGGAGCCTTAAATTCAGTCATGTTGGAAAAGGAAGAGCAGAGTTCCAGACTGCCAGTGGTATCAGTTCAGTTTATTTAAATGCTGTGTCTGCCTGTTCCAAATGTGAAGAATAGGATGCAACAAGTGTCAGTGGTTTAGTTAGATGATGCCCATCTCAGCCTCCTTCATAAACATTTACAAAGCTGCCTTTGTCCTTTTCAGTGAGAACAAGAAGAGGATCCCTTTCAGCAGAACCATATATATATATAGTGTATGACTATAGCTAACGATATGTGGTGTTCCCATTTTTTTTTAAGAAAGCTCTAAATGAAATAAATCCCTGTATTCTGTTGTTCATATTCAGAATGTTGAACGAAGTAGCTGCTTCTGGAGAATGTTGATGAAACATGGCACTTTGTTGTCCTAATCCTTGCCTTGCTATCCGTTGTTTGTTGTGATTGTGCTTAATTTCGTTTGATGATTATAGTGCAAAACAGCTAAGCATAACCACCAACAAAGAAGTCCTGTTGCTTACAAATGTCATTAATCAAAAAGTAGGAAGAAACAAAATTGTTGATCTCACCTGTTGGTGAGTTTCCAGCAACCTAATCCCGGTGTAGCTCATACATGTGCTTTTATTCTAATGCCTTTTTTTTTTTTATTTCATCAGTTGACCTCATGAGGGGAAAGCTGTGCCTATTGGCAGCCAACCTGCAATATCAAATGTTTGCTCTAGTGTATGTAAAACTTAAAAGGGAACTATTTTTTTTTCTAGCTCCTTGCAGGATTGCATAAGACATTTTAATAGGACATTAATTTCTGCAGTTTATCTCTGTTTATTACCAGACATTTGCATGCAAACAGGATCTTCCCTGCGGAGCAGTTCTGCTCCAACAGTGTACAGTCTTTGATTCAGCAGAGCTGTTTACATTAACTTTTCTGGTGTGTTTTTGAAATTGCCCCAGCAAAATCACAGCAGCCATTCCTGTGGAAATCCTGTGTACCACAAGTGACAGTGAAATAAAAAATAGTGCTTGAAGTTGGCTCCCACGTGAAGATCTATGTGTGAAGGGAGAATGGCATTTTGTATTTCTTTCTGTGGATGTCCAGCCACATCAGTGGAAAGAGGACAAGCACAGATTAATCCTGTCACTGGATAAAGTAGCAAGCTAGTGAATGCTCTGGTTTTCCATCTCATATTATGGATTTTGCACAGTAAGAGGAAGGAAGTGTCATTCCAAACAGCTTAAACGCTCATAACCTGTGAAAATTTCTGTTGAAGCTAAATCTGGTATTATTTTCAACTTGCATTTTCTGTTTAGAATCTGGACTTTCAGGTCAATGCCTTTTTTTTTTTTTTTTAGCATAGAAAAACACTGATTATTTTGGTATTTGTCTGCAGAAATTCATTTAGGGAGCAGAAGTGATTGATTATACCTCTTTAAAGTAAATGGCCCTGCTTTCTGCTTAATCTTTTCTGTTAAAGCTTCCTGCTGTAATTTTAGCACTGCAGTTCTGACCTAAGTGAGATATATGTTTGTAGCATGAAAACAAGAAGCTTATGTTTTGATTTGACCTTTTTTTTTTTTTTACTGATTATTTTCAGTGAGTATCACGCTACAGGTGTCCAGGGCTGGGCTGCAAAAGGTTCTGATTTAGGTCCATTAGCACAAATATTTATTCAGAAGCTTTAAATTTGTTTATATTAGACAGGAATTTCAGCAAATCGAAATAGCTGGCATTTAAGTTAAGATGTAAATAATGAGCTTGATTAAAAGTTACACTTGTTCTGACTATTTATGTGCTCAAACACAATACAGATGAATTGCAAAAATACTGTGCTCTAACATCTGCAAAAAACGAGGAGTTTTTAATCCTCATTATAAAAGTTTTATAATTATAATCCTCATTATAAAAGTTTTAATCCTGATCAGCTAAGCACCAAGGAAAGAGCTGACCCACCTGCTGCGTGTTCACCCCACCCCTTGCACCGCCCAGAAAGGTGAAGCGGGTTTTCTTCTCAAGCTGTGAAAGAAATCTTGCTGCCAGACCTAACCTGGACCTTTTCAGCCCGAAAACACTCGGTTTTGTCCGGTGACTTCGAGGTGGGCTGGGAGAAGCCTCCCTGCCCTTGGTGCCAGGAGGGGCTGGTGCTGAATGCTGCTTCTCCACCCTTCGGTGCAGAATGGATCCCTTTTATTCCGGTTTTAACCCATCTCAGCTCATGTACGTAATTCTGTTTAATGTTTCTTGCCAAACCGATTGTTTTCTATTAAAAGTCTGTTTGTTACCCGCTTCCTCGGCGTCCGGCCCGGCTCGGGAAGGTGGTCGCGTTGCCCGGCGCTGCCCGCTGCGGGGCGCCGCGCG